GAGCCGCCTTCAGTCTTCGCTCCGCTGCTTCATGCCTACATATGCAAATTAACCGCCATCTTTGTTGGTGGTTAATTTGCATATCTCGCTGATTAGCCAATGGGAGGTGTAATGAAAATATGGTCAATTACCATGTTTGTCTATTATTAGATTAGATTAGTCATGCTCTGTTAACCGGATTAAAGAAAGCACATTCTAACCTGGCTGGGAGTTGTATACCCCTGGGACCCAGGAGTCACAGTCACCCTGGGACCTGGGAGTCAACTTTGGAATTCGGGCCATTCTCATTCAAGAACTGCCTATTATCATAGAAAGATTAGCAACCTTGTTGCCTAAACAAGAGTCTCACCCCAGCCCTCATTACCTACTTCCCCATGCCTGTAACTTCTACTTCCCCATGTAATCTTTGTCCTACCCAATATAAGCAGCTGGCTTATAGGGGGTTGCAGAGCAAATTTTTATGGACGACCTACTACTCACCCATACTGTGTGCAGTATTGGAATAAACGCTTGAAAGGGCGAGGGCTACGCCCTCCATCTTGCCCCGAATCCTCCATTTTGGGCAGCAGCCATGTGCTCAGCAAGGAGCTTCTTCCCGGAAGCCCAAACCTCTGCTAGCCACACCTAGGATTTCTTTAAACTAACCAATGATAATCAAGGGAAGTGCGCGCCATAGATATGACCACATCCTGTGTAACAAGACACCGACTTGTGCCTGGCCAATCGGCAGGGCCCACAGTCCTCTCTCCTCCCCTTACTCCAACCCCCTATAAAACCCCTCTCCCCACAGAGCTCTCTCTCTCTCTGCTGCTTGCTGCTGCGTCGGCGAGTGTGGGGGGAGCTGAGCTAGCTCGAATAAAGACGCTTATGCTTTTGCATCGGACATGGCTGGCTCCCTGGTGTGGTTTCTTGGGGATCCTGAAATCTGGGCATAACAACGCTCATATGATTCAACCCTGTCTCTGCTGAATTGGCTCAAGTAGTGACAGGCAGCCCAGACCCCTTAGTTGTCCGGTTACAGCAATATTAGCTAGCGTTCACCGGGCCCCACCATATGCCAGGCATCCTACTAGTCACTTTTAATGGCATCAGGCTAATGAGGGACAGTCTGTCTCTCCACACACACACATTTCCCCCTTTCAAGCTACACCTGCCTGCTGGCCATCCTTCTGCTATAGGCACCTCTTACCGACATGAGAGAGGTGTTCCCGGTATATGACAGCCCCCTGAGCTAGTGGGAGAGGGCTGTCCCCAACCTTGATTCTTGTCTTTTCATATAGATGAATTTATATGAAAAACCCTGACTGTGTTGTGAAAAACCAATTTATTAAAGTAATTAAGGCATGTATCTTTATTGAAAAAAGCAAAAGGAAAGTAAGCAAACCTATACATTTGGCTTATGAAGCACAGGCAGGCTCTCAGTTAATCTGAAGAGCAAGTTGGGGGGGGGGGGTCTGAGGCGTTATACACCCTCCCGTCTATAGGCTTCAAAATTCCTCTGCTGACTGTTTTGATAGAGATTAATTCTCAAGGTCCCTTTTTTTACTTTGTTGTGGCCTTCCCAGAATTCATGAAAAGCACCTGGCAACGTAATCTTGCCAAGCCTTGAGATTGCTGGCTTGAGATTGCTTAGGGAGTAAAACTGCCCTTTTACCCTTCCCCCTTTGCCCCTCCCTTTCTGCATTCTCTCATTAAGGAGGGGTTTTTTTTATTTATTTTTTATTTTTAAATATATATTTTATTGATTTTTTACAGAGAGGAAGGGAGAGGGATAAAGAGTTAGAAACATTGATGAGAGAGAAACATCGATCAGCTGCCTCCTGCACCTCCTGCACCCACTGGGGTTGTGCCCGCAACCAAGGTACATGCCCTTGACTGGAATCGAACCTGGGACCCCTTGGTCCGCAGGCTGGCGCTCTATCCACTGAGCCAAACCGGCCAGGGCAAGGAGGTTTTTTAAATCATTTGCTCCGTGTCCTTGGCTGGGGAAGATAATGGTTTGTTAGTTACAAGCTGGCTGCAAACTGCCCACAGTTTGGCCTTGTTTTAACTTTCCTGTCTCAGTTTCCCTACCCCTCTGCCCTGGAATCCTGTAACACCTCCTCACACCAGGCACTTTGCATTTCCAATCCTAGTCTTTGCACAGCTGTGCCCTCAGCTCTAATGCCCCTTTCTGCCATTCTCTGCCCAGCAAACCACTACTGACCCCTTAAGGCCCAGCCCCAGTGTCCTCTTTGCTTTCCCTAGTGCCGCTCCCTGTTCTGGTGGTCCCCTCCCCTCCTTTCCCCATGGTGCTGCCCTTCTGGGTTCCCCAGTCATCACTGGCTTCAATCTTCACCACTACACGGAGCTCCCTGGAGGTAGACTCTAACAGTTAGAGTCACTTTCCCTCCTATTACCCGTAACAAAGCCTGGCCTGGGCTATCTTACCCTCCCC